GGGGCCGGCGGCGGACACGCCCCTCTGGTCGGCCAAGAGGTACGCATGTCTAGGTACCTCCAGCGTCTCTCCCAGCCCCGAGTGACTCCTCCACCTCTTCCTGCCCCCTGCCCGACGGAGGGCGCGAGTGGGCACTGGGGACAGACGCCCACCTGGCTTGTGGCTACCAGGGGCTGGCCCTCTGCCCCACCCTCTCAACTCCCATGGGGCAGGGCGCTAACCGGGTAGCTGACTCTGGTCTGCCCCTCCAAGGAGTCCATATGCGTGCAAGAAAATGTGGGTCCCGTGTGCTTATAAAGGAAGCGTTCCCATGACGTCCGAGCATGGCAGAAACATTCGCTGTGCTTACTACTTTATGTGTCCATTTATGTTAACCGTTCATAGAGCCTTCAGAGTGAGCACTGGCCTTCTGAAGTCCCTCAACTGGCAGTAAACAGGCTGCAGGAGGAAGCCCTCCAGCAAGCTGTAGGGGCCCCGAAGGGCTGGCTCCTGGGACCTCATCCCTAAGAGTTTGCTCTAGCTGCCCTCTGCTCCCCTCCACTTCGAGTGCCAGCCTGAATGCCAGGGCTGGCCCTGCGGGGCCTCAGCAGTCCTCTGGCCCTTAACATGGGACATTCTGGGGAGGTGGGGCAGGCAAGTTGGCAGGAGGCTGTTCTGTCCCCGCACCCCACCCCACCCTGTTCCTTTGAGGCAGGAGCTAAAGAGGTACAGAGAGCCTTCTGGGTCAGGGGAGCGGGCAAACTGGGAAGTGGCCTTGGGGAATGGAAAATCCCACCTCCTGGTCAGGAGCCCGGGAAATCACCTGGTTCCCAGCGTTTTGGTGACATGGGCTGTGCTGTACAGTGAGCAGGGCCCACACTTTAACTCTGCAGAGAGGGCCAGCCACAGAGCACACAGGAAGACTTCCGCTGGCCCCACATCTCAGGTAGGAGCAGATTGCAGGACTCCCTGGTGTCCAAGAGAGAGCTGCAAGCCCAGGGTGGGACGTGGCCCAGTGGAAGCAGCAGATGGTCCTTCTCCTGATGTCCCCCGCACCTCCAAGCCCACTGGCCCATCTGCTGCAGCTGGGAGTGGCAACACCAGGGCCAGGTGTGCCGGCCCAGGGCCGGTCCCACACACCGGGTAAGTCACAAAGGCCAGAGATTGACTTGGCACACAGCTCTGTCCAAAGTCAAGGGCCTCTGGCGATGGCTTCCTTCCCAACAGAGCCCAGGGGAGGCACAGAGCGACACACGGCAGAAGGGTCAAGTGAGCGCATGTGTGCACGCAGGCGAGCAATTCCCTTATAAAGTCATCTGCATCAATCAGGGGGCTCCACAGTGCAACTGACCTCTTCTCAGTGCTGTGCCCATCTTTGGCAAGGAGGATCCCAATGCCAACTCTTAAATCCTATGTAATCCTGGCTTTCTCTAATAAAGCCACTTTGCTCAGGCAGAGGGGGAGAGAGAGAGAGAGAGAGGGTTAGGTTTCCAGCAGTGTTATGATCCCAAAGCTCCCAGACTGTTCCCCTGTGCCCCCCATTTGTCCCCAGGGAAGGGGGAACACTGTCTCCTCCCCTAAAGGGAAGCAGCAGCTACTCAGCAGCATGTCAACTCTTTCCCCAAATTCTTTCTCTGGGCTTCTCCTGCTCAACATTTTATTGAATCTGGGAACAGACGACGACACATTGTTCCTGAAGGTCTTTTATTCTTGGGGTGGCCTGCACAGGTGGCCCAGGACTTTCTCCCGGGATAGGACATCGATCTGGACACTGCCATGCTCTACCCACCACTGAGCATCCATGAAAACCTCGGCAGCAGCTGACCTGGCTCACCTGGCTCCCCCCTGCCCCAGCCAAGCCTCGGCCTTGCCCTTGGCCATCTGTCACCTGTGATGCTACTCATGACAACCCAGGGGCTTCCTGTTCTCCCTCTGTGGACAGGGCCAGCCCTCGAAGGCACTCATGCCTCTCCCCTAGTCCAGGGCTCTCCACCAGGGCATGGCTTTACCCTCCACTCCCACCCCAGGGACATCTGGCAATGTCTAGAGACATAACTGCAGAGGGCAGGGTGAGGGGCTCCTGGCATCCCATGGGTAGAGTCCAGGGATGCTGTGAGCATCCTACCATGCCCAGGAGGGCCCCACAACAGAACTTGCCAGCTCCAAACGTCCAATTTGACGCCAAGGCTGAGCAACTTGGCCCTAGGCACAGCTCCAGCAGCCTTCAGAATTGAGTTCAGCCTCCTCAGTGAGACACTGGAGATGCTCCTGTCCTGGTCTAGGCTGCCTGGCTGGCAGATGGGCACCGCAACCCCCCAACTTCACACTCTGACCCCTGGGCATCTGTGGTGACTCTGAGCTGCACCTTCAGCCTCTGTCTGTGCAGGTTTCTCTGCTCGGGATGCCTTCCCTTCCCTGTTTGCTCGCTGATACCTGCTTCTCCTACAGTCACAGCCCCACTCTGTCTTCTGAGAAGCTCCCTTGACCACAGCCCTGCCATCAAGCTCTCCGACAGCATGCCACACACCTCAGCATTATTAGTCCCTTACATGCTCCCCACTCCTTAGTAATTGCGATACTAGCAGTTATCGGAAGTCTACACTGGGTCACCAACGCATGTCTGGTGATACACGTTGCCTTGCACTGGGGAGGTTGAGTTTACTAAACCCTTACCCAGTTAGTGAGAGGACAGGAGATTCAAATCCCATTCGGCTGCCTCCATAGCCTCCAGCTGAGCTGTGACTCCCTCCGCTGGAAGGCATTGTCCTTGAGGATCCCATTGGTTTTCCTTGAAACCAGAAGACACATGAAAGGAGGAACTCCATAAAGTCAAAGTGACGAAGGACAGGACATGGGGCTAAGTGCATGCAGGAGACAAAGAGATGAAGATGTAACTGAATGAAAGGGTGAGTATACATCAGGGTCATGCTCAGGAATCCAGTGCAGCCCAGTCACTCCCAGGCCCCACCTGCCCAACACAAATACCACCATATATCTCAGATGCCCAACTCCATATCACAGCAAAAGCGCCATTTCTTCCTTGTGGATGGGCAGCCAGCAGACTTCCAGCAGAGCCAGGAAGATGCCTCCTGGCCTCCACTCCAGGTCTCCAAGCTTTGTGCTTACTACTTGAACTTGGCCTGGGTCACCTGAGCCTTTCCTCACTTCCCAGGGCATCTCCTAGCCCCTTGGAGAGGTCACCACCCAGCCACCTTAAAACTGAGCAAGCGGATGACTGTGATCCTGCCGCAGTAGCCATAGGAGGCAGTGTGGGCAAGAACCGCCAGGCCATTAACTGAATGCCTACTATATTCCAGGCAGTCTGGTAGACCTTGTGAAGCAATGGCGGTCCAGAATCCATCTGGAAGGTTTGCAAATGGTTTGGAAGGCTGAGCTGTGGTCACACGGGGAGGGGCAGCTCCCACTGTGGGGGTGGATGCTAGGCAGCATTCTTGTCCCAGGGAGTGCACAGCAGTAGCCAGCCACAAAACCAGCAGCTGGGCACGGGGGGACCCTGACTTGTAAGGGCTAATTTTGGTCATTGAGGGCCCACTTGCTCTTCCCCTCCAAACCTGGCCCCCAGCCAGGACAAGCAACCTTTTCTTGTGCCACTGCCCTTCTCTTGGCGCCTGCATGTGCTGGGCCAGCCCCTTGATGACTCATGTCCTAAAATCACGAACAGGAAGCAGCGCTGGGTGTTAGCCACAGCCTGCAACTGTCTCCCGGACTGGCCCTCCCACCTACCCTGCTGCCTGCACGTCTTGGGCTGAGCTGGCCACACCAAGGCGGGGCCTGGAGCACTGGACCAAGAAATGCTCACCAGTTCCTGGCCCTGTCTCCTTCCAGAGAAAGGGAGGCTGAGGTGCCCCCACCCCGAAGGACCCTGGGAATGTGGGGAAGAGACCCAAGGAAGCCTTCAAGCTGCTCTTCCTCAAACCCCCCTGTTCTGGACCCAACCACAAAATCAGTCCCAAAACTTGTGGAGAGGACCCTCGGTCAAGCAAGGCCAGCTGGGCTCAGAGGGATTTCCTTTCCCTTTTTTTTTTAATTTAATTGAATTTTATCCCAAGAGATTTCCTTTCTCATTTTCTCACTGTGTGACCGTGGCCAGCATCTACCCCTCTCTGGACTTCGGCACCCTCATGTTTGTTTGTTTGCTTTGGTTTTTAGGCAGAGTCTCACTATATAGTTCAGGCTGGGCTTGAACTCCTGAAGTACCATAAGCTGGCCTCAAACTCACCAAAATTCTCCTGCCTCAGCCTCCCAAGTGCTGGGATTGCGGCATGCACTACCACATCCAGCTCAGCATTCTCATTTTAACACCAGAGGGTAGGATTACAGGGAAGTGGGGGAGGGGGGGAGGCAGATGGGGGGAGACTGGCTCCATCCTAAATGCCTGCTCTGCTTGGCAGTTAGTGTCTGGGACTGTGTGCTAAGGACACCAAGGCTGGATCTGCCAGGCAGGAAGTGTGATCAAGGAACCAGGGTGTCTGGGCATGGAAAGGGCAGCCACAATGCTGTCACCTTACCTTTACCTCTCTGGACTAGAGCAGATGCCTTGGAGGCACTGCCCAGGGTGACGTTGGCCTTGTAATTCTTCTGCCTCAGCCTCCTGAGTAGCCGGGATCACCAGCATGTACCACCATGGCTGGCT